AGTTGCGGGCTCCCCCGTGACTGCAGCAGCGCCAGGGAGCATACGCGCTGGAGGGGCGCCCCGGTGCCCCCACGCGGGCCGTTTTCTGCCTCGGGCGGTTCCTCTCGTCCCGCGTCCTTGAGTTAAAGGTGCGGAGCAACGTGGCGCGAATCCAGCCTTGCCGGGAGCAGGAAGCTCAAGGACCCGAGCTCCCTTCGCACCTAAGTGATTCTAAGGTCAAAGAGTCAAGAATAGGGGGAAAAAAAAGATGCTAAAGAAAACACAAACAGCCATCTGATTTAATGAGGAACAAGCTTAGCAAACACTCATTTAAAAATTCAGACGGCTTTGAATTTTTTTTCCTATAAACAGGGTGCAAGAACAGAGTATCTGACTGAATAAGGTAACACCAGCTGAAACCATACATAAAAGCGTCATGACTTTATTCTCCCTGCCCATTACAAGATGTCCCAGATTGTTCATTTTTTTTTCCCCAAGGTAGTTCCTTCTTATATAACTGTTACCTCCTCTTCAGTTCTGAGGTAGAGATACATACATTTCCAATTTGCATTTTTAAAAAACAAATACTTAAAAAAGCCACCATGATCCAAACATAAGGATATTATGCAAGAACATAAAGTCAGTTTTTCCCCTACTAATTGCTCAAACAAATTGAAAATCAGGTCAAGGCCTTTAAAATTGGTCCCTTAACTCCACAAAGAAATCCTTAAAGTATCAAAGCAACCATCATAGTGGGGCTTCATCTAAGGCAACACTTGTGGAAGGAGAATCATCTATGGCAGAAGCCAGGCTGTCAGGCAGAGGAACCGAGGCATCCACTTCCAAGCTGTGCTCCTTCTCCAAATCACCATTCAAGTCAGAATTCCCTCTGTCGCTCACCTCTCCCTCTGACTCTTCAGTTAATTTGTCCTGGGCCTGAGCTGACTCTTCACAATCTTCCTTTTCACGCAGGAAGCTACAAATCATGTTAGGCCTACTGTAGGAAAAATCTCTGTCCTTGATCTGTAACCACTCCACACCACCTGACACAATGGAAAAAAAAAATAGATGTTAGTGACAGAAGCAGTTACAGTTAACCATGTATTTTCTTAAGCCCACTGTTTCTTAAGCCAGACCAAAATTTAAAGAAAAAGACTTAAGCTAGAAAGGAGTCTTTCAGATATTAGGTCTGACACTAATTTTTGTTCACAGTCTTACCATAGCATTGAAACTGTTCATTTCCTTGAAAAATAGGGCTAAAAGTCACAGAGGGATATTTGATTAAAAAAAGTTTAAAATAGCAAAGAAACTTCCCTGGCGATAAATTAGCAACAGTGCACATAGGCTAAACCAATTCTGCTCTGTATTACATAGCAGCAAGTTTCCATTTGCTGTCATTCAAGAAAAAATAATTAAATACTGGAGTCACTACATGTGGCTCCCTGAAGTCGATAGCCCAGTGCCTAAAGAGCAGTCACCAGGGAGATAAAATGTTAAAGTCCTATAAGGAATGTAATGAGAAGCAGTAATATCATTATCCTGAGCACAAGATGTTTTTATATATCGTGTTGAGTACTGTGTCCTGCTCAATCCTTATAGTAAAATTAGAAGTAAGAATTGGCCAAGAAATTAGCTCTACTTGAGAGGAGACAACACCAGTCTCACAAAAACAAAAAACAAACAAGCAAACAAAAAACCCAGAAATCAAACAAGAACACCCACAGTAAAATGGTACTTTTCTTTCTCCATATGATAGAACTGAGATCTGAAAGCTAACTGTCATAAGACATGGTGGAAATTAAAAGTATAAACAGATTCAAAAAGTGAATGGACAAATCAAGAGGGTAGAGCCTTTAAGGACTATAGGCATAGGTATCTAGATGAAAATTCTTGCTCAGAATATTCATGAATTGCTGAATGCAGAACACTGGAAGGATATCCAAACAAAGGAATCACTTACATATATGCCTTATACTTTTTCCTGGCCATAAACAGAAACAAAATACAGGATTAAAATACCTTTGGCCTGATCCAGTATGGAGGTCCTATTATATTTCAGTTGTCAGATACCACTCTGGAAAACTCTCAAAATAACTTATACATCATGTAAACTGCTGAGGAGGTACAGCAAAGAGAAAATGTTTGTTCACCTAAGTCTTAGTACATCTGATAATGGGATAGGAATGACATCAGTGATATCATAAGAATTTGTGCCCTGTCCTGAACTCAAGTATTTCAAGCTCTTGGAACATGTATCCAACAGACTTCAGAGAGAATTGGAATTCCCCTACCCATTTGAATAGACTTTAGTAAGTACATATTGTCAATTCACGAGGTGTTCTAGGTACTCTGTATGCACAGTATTAAGCTTCTGTCAGGTGGCAGACAAAAAAAAGTTTTTTTGAGCAAGTATCACTGCTCCCTGGGAGGAGGAGGCGGGGGAGCCTCAATATTAAGCACCGCCTTTTCTAGTCTATCGCACTTTAAAAATATATATATTTTTAATATTATCTCATCTAGTTCTCATCTAGTCCAACACTTATATGGAGAAGGAAAATGGTGCATAGTATTGATAAGATGCTGACTTAGGATTACAATGACATTTCACATTTTATCTTATATGAGTATATTCCAGCTGAATACACACTCGTTTAATCTAGAATAACTACATATTCTTAAAATGTGAATTAGTAACACTGACTTGAGGGAAAGAAGCAACCAAAAGCAACAGGACGTTGATAAAATTGTATTACTGTATGTAGTGGGATATTTTGTATCTTAATATGTAACAGTACTGAGCGGAATGCTCAAGTTTGTGTATTCACCAATAAGGGGGTGAATAGCAGGACAAATGGGAGGGGGGACACTGAGAGGAACCATGAGTGAGCGGGACAAAAGAGCATCTAGCAAGAGTTGGGGGCCTTTACAAAGAAGGGAAATAAGGGAATTCCCCCACATTCTTCAGGAAGGGGGACAAAAGAGTCAGGTGACCTCAGGTGAGAACAGATGGAGGGAGGCAGGGAGTTTGGTATAGGCAGGCCAGGTAGGCTGTAACTTCTGAGTACCTTGGCCAATGGGGAAAAGGAGAGGGCGTCCCTCAGTCAGGAAATTGGGATAAAATGGGGGCTGCGTCCTCCAGCAATTGGAGAGACCCCACAAGGATATGCCTGGTGGAATCTCCCTTTATTCAAATAAAGTTTTAGGACTCCTCTGTCTCCTTTTTGGACATCCAGTTCTTGACAGCGAGATTCTTCCGCACAGTACTAACTTTCATATAAAGAAATTACCACAGAAATAAGACAAATGGACAAGCAGACTTCTGCCTATGTAACAAAAACAAACAAACAAAAAAGTCTGACATATATCTTTGCCAGTACATTAAACTTGATTAAAGCTACTTTTAATTCAGTAGAAACAATTTAGTTGTAGTACATAAAACGCAGAACTTCTTACCAAGGATATTACAGACTTTAAGCAGCTACACAGACTCCAAAAACCATAAGGTGAATTAATGGAAGTAAAAAATAAAATCAATGAAGAACTGTTACACATAAAGATATTGTCTCTATCTTCAGAGCTGGTGCCAAAACTTTTAGATTATAAATATAGACTGACACTGCCTGGTATATTCAGTACTCTTCTTACACTCTTCTGTGGGCACCTCCTACTAGCCATTTTTGGAGATAACTAGATACAGGCAGGAGATTTGACTGGATCTGAAATCTCACTCTCCAGTGAGAGTACAATGGTTCCCTAAAGGAGAAACTTCACCTTCTAATTTCCTGCACACTTGACACACACACTTGAACACTCCTAGCATAATCCATCGGTGGATTATGTTCCTATGCATATCTATCTATCTGTACGTAAGAATGGAGGCACTAACCAACATTCTCTTCGCCTTCCTTCTTCTCTGTCAATAGGGTCCGTGTCATATTCAGTTTCTTCATTGTATGGCACTTGTATTTCAACTGTAGCTTCTGGTTGCCTTCAGCATCTACTATGAAGAAAGGAGGAAAAAACAATTCCCAAAGTCCAATCATTAAAGTGAATTCCAGCACCAACTGAAACAAGATGAAAATTGATTTTGAACCTCAGAGTTTACCACAACAAACAGGATATCAAATTACATTAATTACCTTGCTCTGCATTTTCTTCAAAAAACAGACAGGTTCCCAAGGTATCTATGGAAAACAAAGTGACAGAGTTTTAGAAACTAATTTCTATGAGACATAGATACTGCATGCAGCAGTACATATGGGAATATTTGAACTTCTGGTCCTTTCTGGTCCACCTTGCCAGCTCAGAAATAGGATCATCAAGGTCACTGTCTGCAAGTCCTTACAAGGGAGCATTCCAGATAATTTTCTTCATGATTTTACCACCATAAAGCAAATGCAAGAGGTACAGAACATGTTGAATCTGCTTACACAGGCCACAATAATGCCCCAGACACTTACTACATCCACATTTTTCCCCCGGGAATACCAGCTGGTACACCCCAGAGCCAGCCTTCAGGCATCCTTGTCTCTAAGTAATGCAGATTCACGGCTGATTTAGCACTGAACCCCAACCCATGCTGCTCTACCTGGGGTTACACAAACACTGCCCAGAAGTTCAGCACTCTAAAGCCCAGAGTTGACCATTTGCAGTGAAGTTAACTAATATTAAAGAAAGTTTCTTTTGGTCTTGTGAAAAAGAAGAGATAACAGCCATGTCAGCTTTCCTACCTTCATATTCTCCAGCAAAGACATATCTGTCCACTTGTAAAATAGGCCTCTCTGTCTCTATTCCCTACAAAAGGGAAGACAAAATTGCACTGATGTCAGGTCTTGCAGTCAACACAAGCTTCTTAGTATTGGATCACAGAAGATAGATACAACAGAATCCAGATTAAATCATCATGTATCAATATTTAGACAAGCAGATGAAAGAGTTTTGTGAAGGCTGTGATTTTACAGGTAACCAGCAGACCCCTGACAAAAGAGGAAGGGAAACAATCAAATTAATACTTAGTAATGTACCTAAGACGTAATAGAAATATTTTTAGTCATTACAACTGATGCTGAGGTATTTGAATATCTGGGGAAAACAAGCAAACAAACAAACAAGGTTTTCTTTGTTTTTATGGGAGGCTTAGTTAAGCAGTGGTGACAGTTGTTAGAAAGGGATTAGTGAATCTTACTGTAGAATCACTGTTGTAAAACTGAAAACGAAATTATTTATGATGATTTTTTCAGTCATCATTACACACAGTATACACAAAACAAACGAATGAACCAAAAAAACCCAGTATACAGAGGACCAAAGAAGTTTAGATCAAACGGCAATCAGCTCTTATTGCCACAAAAAAAATAAAATAAATGGTAGTTGTAAATTAACAAACAAAAAGTGTATCTATGCACAAAAAATCTGGTTCTAAAAAAGCACTTCTAAAATCACCTTGTTCCTTTCCTCTGCAGTCAGGCCTTATGAATACTGCTGACACTGAGTCCTTTCAAATACACTGGTCAGGTTCTCATCATATGCAGATTTACATATAAGCATATCTAAAAACTACATTTTGCTAAATATGTAACCCTGAAAATAATACTTTAAGGTAAGATGTTTTTAAATAGTATATCATAAACCTCAGCATTATTCAAGTTATAAACATATGCTAAAAATTTTCAAGATGAGGGACTACACGATAAATCTAAATGCCCAAAAAGCACTGCATAGTTTACCACAAGCATTTTTTGCTTGTATTTTTAACAAATAGAAGTATTTTTAAGATCAGTAAGATTTAAGCCTTCGGATTCTCTTCTGCTCTGGAAGTTGAGAATATCAATAGCATTAAACTAACAGATAGAACATGCTTTTTTACTACAGGAAAATAAAATAAAAAAGGCAAAAATGTCATAGTATGCAGAAGTAAGGTTTTTAATATTCAAAATTGATTATTCCTTGGTTAAACTGGCATTCCACTTCAGACTATAAAGAAATGGACCATCTTCCCCCTATATGATCAGCATCACAGAAATAAATAAATAAATAAATAAATAAATAAGCAAAAATAACACATGATAAAAATCTTTTTGCTGATGTTTTAACAACAGTTTCCCATGATAAAAGATGAAAAAATCTCAAGGACTGGTTCATGTGGAGAAGAGCAGGCATATTTTGCTATGAATAGGATGTAACAACATTACAATAGAATCACAAGGCATAAAATTTAAAAGATTCATATTACACTATTGAAAAATAAGCAAAAAATTAATTACCGCAGAATCATTTGGGAAACACATTTCAAGTGACTTAAGTTACTCAGGAAACAAACTGCCTTAAAAAGCACAATGTCTCTACAATCAAGATTTTCAGAATTGATTTTTCTACCTCATATATGCTCCTAGCAGTCCCTAGTCTCTCAATCACAGTTTTTTTTTTTTTGCCTAGTAAATGAATTTGTGCCAAATAAACTGACTAAACAACTCAAAAGGCACACGATAGCTACGTCCAATTCTTGCAATAACTTTGTAGCGAAGTAAACAACCTAATGTCCAAAAGCGTGTACAAAAATATTAAAGCACGATTTGTATCTGCAACACTGCCGCTTGCCAGGCAGTATCTGCAAAAAAAGCTGGGAGTAAGACAGGATCCAGCTGCATCTAGACTTCTCTGGGACGGAGCTTGGAAAGCGAGGCGGGTCTGTTCTGAACACCAACAGGTTCAACACAAGGATCTCCTTGACACTTCCATCCGACTCTGCCCTCCCTGCAGTAACTAACCTTGCCATCAATCCTTGTTCAGTCACTGTCTTATTTACAGTTGAACTTCGTAAAGTCACTATCTTACCTCAATAAAATATATTGCTGCTTCTGTCTTACAAATGAAGTGCATCACCTCTCACTCACTCGCAATATTTTTTGATATATTTGTCCAATACTGTATTCAGAGAGATCACATGCCATTTCTGACAGAAAGACCAATAATCTGTAGCCAAGCATTACTGCTAAGAGAGGAACACAATTCTGTACTCTACATTTGATCTAAATTTCATCATCTTCCAAGGAATTGGAAACAGCTTCTAAAATTCCCTTTGTTCACATGCATGCTGACTTACCCCTTTCCTATTGTGCTGTAATCACTCACCAAAATCTTGCATTTGTTTTCACATTTTTCTAAGAAGTCCGAATCAATAATTCCCGATAGTTCCACCATGACCAGTTGTTCCTACAAAATAAATTTACACCATAGATCTGTGATTTATGTATTTAAGGGGTGGAGTGGAAGCATTCAAAAAGCCCCAATCTTCAAAATATTTCCCAGACAAAATCTAACTTACACTGTATTTTGACTAAAAAAAAAAAAAAAAAAAAAGGGCACAACAGAGATGATACTTCAATATCCAAGAGATATAAGGCAGTCTGTTACTTCAATGGACGTTTCATACCTGATTTTCTATCTAAGCTTTATGAATTACATCATACATTTTTTTCCAAAGCTTTCGCATTTGTGTAGGCAAGATACCACAGCAAGGAAGTAAGCTAAGCAAATGTTATTTTTAATGGTTACTTTTAACTGTTTACAACATATTGCCTTGAAGTCAATTCCTTTCTGCAGCTCTTCATTTTGGGTGAGGAAAGCACATGCACGCTAATCCTTGAAAACCCTTTTTCTCCCCAACGACATGATAAGTTTTCAAGGACCATCTGCTAAGTATCTACGATAATACAGAGTATTACAAGCCTAAGGGCGGGATTCTTTGCTCCAGGACCAGCAAAACCAGCCGGCCCTTCCCTTGCTGGTAGCCCACACGAGGGCGACCCCCACCCCAGCCCC